CAATTGCCATGGACCCCAGCGACGGATCAAGTACTTTTTCAATCATCTTCTGAACGACTTACCGAAATATACAGCCAAACCATGGCCAAACTATAAAAATTCATGCGGAAGTGGCACCATCGTACTTCGTTTTCTCCTAAACCAGCGGATCCGCCATAGGCTCGAGTGTCCTAATAAAACCAATACCGTAAAGCCCCAGCCGCCACGCGCAGCCGAGCGCCGATTTCCCAAGATAAACTATCAACAATCAAACGGGCCGACTGCAGTGGCCGGCCGAGTCCGGATCGCTTACGATCCCTGTACCCCGCCCCTCTCAGGGCTTTACAGCCGCTCGTTGTGATCCTCCAGGCAGATCAAAGTTAACTATCTGCACTGGTCATTCAAGAAACAAGCGGCGCACAGCCAGCACGCAGTCAGGGATGCCGAAGTTGTTAAAGTTGCTGATGCTGTTGTTCGTTTCAAGTTGAACAAAGCTCGAACGAGATCACTTTTATGTCAAAGTCGCTCTCATTATGGCATTTAAATTCGTTTTGACTAGTTTATTATCCTTGACAGAACAGACAAAACATCACAAACATGAAATGTGTAATAAAACAATAAATACTCATATGAAAAATATAAATATGAGTTTGCAGCAGCCCCATCCAAAGCTTTCACTCCTTATTTCTATTTTTTAAAGTGCATCTATCAATCTATGAAAAACGATCAGCGAAACACATAACTATCTTCATACCAGTAAAATGTATCAATATTTCGCGGTGGCCAGCGGTCCGCGTGCCTCCGTCCCGGTGCCCGGTTGGGCGGCGGCGCTTTTACAGTCGGCCGCTCGCGCTGGCGGCCGCGCCGCCGATAGCGACGCTCGGCTGCCGCCGTCTCCGCGTCGCTGGCGACGGGCGGCGTTATCGGTGGCCGCTCGTCGGCACCGGCTCCGACGGCCGACACGCCTCCGAGGATGATGCATCGGTGGCGCAGAGGCCGCGGACCGGGGCCCGACCGGTGACAGCGGCCAACTGCCCGGTATGCGCCGCCCTCTCAGAGACGCTAATAGGGATAGCAGAGTGGCTCGTGATAAAATGGCTCATTTTGACGGATGAGAGAGCTAAGATATATGCATGCGTCTTTGCCTTTTATTTTTGGTGTAGTAGAGAAAATGGATGGAGTGCTTTTCTTTAGTTGATAAGTTGATCTCTTTAGTTGATAAGATGTGGTGAGAAGTGTAAAAATAAAACAAAAAATGTGTTCGGTGTCGCTTAATTCACATGACAGTTCAGCTGCAGACCGCAATTGGAATGGCGTCAATGTTTCGGAAAATGAAAATGGCAGACAAAATGAATTTTATATAGTGATCAATTATCAATCAGAAGGCCAAATCGTGCATTTGAATAAAATGGCGATAAATGTATTTACACAGGAAATAATGAAAAAGCGCACAAAATCGTTACACATCTTAGCTAACAGCATAAGTTTAAGATGTCTGCAAGGAAATCGCCGAGCCCGCATTTTACAGCCGTCAACAGAAAGCTACAGGATAAGTTATTACAAACGACTCCGTCTTCAGAGTTTTAGAATGTCAACCTACGTGAGAAGCGAACACCAGGCGTAACAATGCGTGCTAATATGAGTGGGAATAGCCAGCAAAATCCCTAATTAATAGGTGGTCTGAAGAAACTGGCTTGGCAAATATTCTGCAGTCGAGCTTACATTGAAATGAGACTACATCGCTTGCTAGTTAAGACAATTAGTTAGCAGCATAATGAATGAATAAAAAGCTGCATGAAAAAGCCTACCCCAAAAGCACAGAAAGTGCTGGTAAGCGATGGCAGTAAAAATCGAAATCCCGCATAAAAAAATGAAATTGGAACTTTTTGCAAATGTCTCCCCTAGGCCTCACGCAACAAAACAATAAACATCGACAAAGAAGTAAATGTTGATAAATTTTCTACAAAAAAAAACTAAAAATCAAAACGAGTTATTTTGTAATTAAAAAATTATTATTATTAAAAGACAAGTTATTATGTAAAAAGACGAGCGCAAAACGAGTTATTTGACAACTTCTTTTACAATTGATGCGTGGGTCTGTGTGGACCTGTGCCCGCCATCCCCTCCCCCATGCTGTCCCGAACTATTTCCCGAGATCCTAAAAATGTGCGGGCCACCCTCCTAAGAGCGGCCCGCACAACTCTTCGATTTTATCAGACACTTGAGACGCACAGCGCACCGAAAAAAAGACTTGACCGGCCCCAAACTCCCTCCGTCAGGCATTATTTGTCAATACTTTTTGGTATACAAAGTGGAATGTTAAATTTTTGGAATGTAAAACCTTTTAGACTGGGAATCCATCGCACGTCATCCCATGTCAACTCAACTCTCGTATTCACACTTCACTACTCTACCCCACCGAGCTGTTTTACCATGCACGGATCCAGCTATATGCCCAACACAGTAGATCCAGTAGATCCACACTATCCAGCAGTAGACAGTCAGTCATCACCGGCAGCCACATTCGTCCGTCTCCGGACAGACAGCCGCCCAGCTCCGCGCCGACACAACATAGCCACAGACGGTCGGCCATCATCCAGCTCACCATTAATAGAGCCGTGCAAATGATGTGCCACCTTCCGAGGGCGCCACCACCGGCCGCGCGCGCCAGCCGGGGCGGCTCGGCGTCATCACGGCGCGACCGGGTCACGATACATCTCCTGGCGCGCACTGTGGGACCGGGGGACCGGGGACATCCCCGAGCGTCGAGACAGGACGGCTGCCCAGCGTCAGTGTCCTGCTGCCGGCTACCGCCCACCGGCTCCACGAGTGCAGCTTTCCAGGAGTACTGCGTACTGTCTCCCAGGAGTAATTTCCCACCAACCAGAACTGCCTCCCATGGGTACCGCTTCTCCCTGGAGCAGTGCATGTCTCCCAGGGAGCGCTGCAAATATCTGCAGACGGTCCCATTCACTGGGGATTCGTCCAGCTGATGAATTCCGGTAGATGTCCATAAGGCACTGCCCCATGAGGACTCATTATCACTGGATGTCCTACAGATACCCTGGAAAGACATACTCGTACTGCGCCCGTCGCCACACGATACCCTTACTCTCACTCGCCTGCTCTCAGTCCGAGTGGGCTCATGTCACCCTTGGAAGTGGAAGTGACTGAATGTGAATGCAGCCTAGGAAACCACTCAGGAATGAATGCTGAGTGACGATGAGATCTACAATGGTGCAATAAACGGTATGAGGTTGCAACATGTGACGCCAGCCCACATACCGTCCACACCATCCCCATATAATTCAACTGCACTGGACGTTCTGAGACCCATCCAGACTTGAGGGTATGACCGAAATCACTGTTCCTTTACGGAACACATGCGGTGAAAACACTGACTATTTGTGAGGATACAGATCAGCATACCATGTTTCTCTCCGCAAGACAGCGCCGTCTACCCGTGGCGCAGCCCCACGATATTTATAAACGTTGAGTAGAGTGAGGCAACAGTCCAACCATACATTGATGCTGCTTATTAGGAAATATCATAAGTAGATTTTATTTGGATGAACTTATGTCGACACTAGCGAAATAATTAACATACCGGGAATAATTAAGTAATGATGAAACCTCCACGGAACAGAACATGACGCATGGAAGTTGGAACCTAATCGACAACCAAGCCATTTATTATTGTTGTTTGTGTCACCCGGTACGAGGATTTGCGTCAGCCCTTCCGCGATCCGCCCGCTTCCTCACTGGTTCTCCCCACCTCTCGGTCCGTCGCCTGCGGGAGCCACGATCGATGCTGTTTCAGATCGCTCTCTTTATTTAAACGGCGCGCACTGATGTGATTTGGATGGATGCCCGCCGAGACGAAATGGGCCAAATTTCCTCAAACAAAATAAGATTTACGGAACAATTTTGTCCGATGTAAAAGAGTCCTTCACAAGAATTCAGAAGTGATTGTATGCTGTTACCCGGACAACCAGCATCGACCCGTACGTTGTAAGTCTTCGCCGGATTTCTCGCCCACGTGATTTCCACTTTTGTCTGAACCGCGCCGGCCCTAGCAACACCTCCATTCACACTGTCCTTCGCGCCGAGTTGTGTCAGTCGCCGGCTATCTGCGAGGCCGGCGCGGCGAGCTTAATCTCGCCCGCGCGACACTTTAATGCAAGATCAAGTTTATAGTTGATGGGGCGAGCGAAGATACGACGGCGGCTGGCTCATGCATTATTCCGTGTCGGTGGCGGTGCCTGCCTGTTAAGCGCTCCTCGGCCGTCACTCAATGGCCGCGCCATGAGAAGCCGATGGCCAAGATAGTGTCCACCGCTATCGGCACCGGTTCCAAAACAATCTCCCCGCCACATGGACGAGTTAATGAAGAAAATATGGAAATAAGGCTATTGGGAGGTTAATGAGAGAATGATAGAAGACTAAATAAAATACATTAATTCATTATTAACCACTTTTAAAACATAATGACCATATTCATCGTCCATGAAGCATCATAAAATGTACTTACTGGTGCATTTATCACCATAATAAAGGCAATTCTAACACTAGGCAAATAGGTAATACTTTACTGACGCCGGATCATGACATTCATCGCATTAAATATCATGTTAATTGTTTCGTCTGCATGGCCTCAGTTTTGCCTCCCTCCAGTTCCGTTGGCAACAGTCGCGAGTGGAATGATTCAACGCCCACGGCGTATCCAAAAGTACGGCGTAGCAATGTTGACACATTGTTTAGAATGGTACCGGGACGCCAAGAAAGCCTCACCTGCCCAATCCCGAGCCCGCAGTTTCATTTCAGGTGCTGCAGTCACATCACCCGTGGCATAGACCCCTTTAAACAGTTTTTAGGGGTCTATACCCGTGGCATACCCGACACCGTGCACACACAGTCTCATTGTAGGACATCAGCCACGTGACATTCTGACCCACCCTGTGCCGACAGGCTCATGTTAGGGTATCAGTCACGTGACACTCTGTCCCACTGTGTGCCCGCAGGCTCGTTTTACGGCACCAGTCACGTGACGGCGGCGCTCCAGGAGGCGCGCAGCAGCACCTCGGTCAGTCTGCGGTTCCGCACGGGCCGCGGCGACGCCCTGCTATTGGTGGCTGCTGGACGGACCGACTACCTGCTGATGCTGCTGGAGGGCGGCCTGCTGAAGGTGAGGGAGGCCACCTGCGGGTGTCGGGGGTCCGCCCGGGGAGGTTTGGGGAGGTCCGGGAGTGTCGGGGAGGGTACGCGAAGGTCCGGGGAGGTCCGTAGAAGTCGGAGGTCCATTCGGAGGTCGAAAGGTCGAAGAGATCTGTCAAAGACTGTGTTTCAAACGTTACGTTTTGTAAAAAGCCAAGATCGCTTCAAATCTGACGATAAACTGGAACGGCTGTTGTGTTCCATGTTATCTATAATTTGATTATTTTTCTTTACCACTTTACAATATTTGATTAGATTCGAACACCGAGTAGACATCTTTTTCTGTTTGATTCAATAAAGATAAACATTAAATACGATTGTAACAGAACCGCATATATGTACCACTAATGCATTGCATCCCTTTTTAAGCAGTCCGGGAGTCCCTGCCATCCTCGGCTCATATAAATAGGGTCGTTGACTTGGCCCGCGTCTATCGGCGCTGCCAGTGATGATGTCTGGCTGTAATTCCTACGTGATATTTATAGCCCTCCACACATAGATTATTTCGTCAAGCTATGAGCATTCTGTCAGTATGAATTAGTACACCAGAGATTAATCATGCAGCCGTACTTCAGCGATCGTGGTGGAACGACCCTGCCCCAGGGATGATGATGGTTGGCCCATATAGTGAGGTTAGAATGGACTGGAAAGTAGCAAAGACATTATACAGCTAGAATAGCAATGTAAATGCATTTACCCACTGCCGAATTGTAACTGTGTTGAATCTAATAATTACGAAACGTATTTTTACAATTAATTTCTACTGAGAATATTACGCCACCATTCAAAAAGAAAAAACCTAAGAGCACGTGTGCAGAGACTACATAGTCAGTAGTCACCAATGTTCTTAGCAGACCCTATCTTCAGACATACATACTCCATTATCTAACTTAACATGTGCCTGGTTGCCCAAACCAGGAAGCTATCTACCAGTTAGTTCGTTTTGCTATAAGTGATACAAGCAATCCTGAATGATCTGTTAGTACCAGACGTGCGACATGCCAAGCGAGGCATGACGTAAATTCCCAGGATCGCTGTTACGGCCTCGCCGTAGTGAATCAGGGAGTCATGCGGCACAGCCTGGGAGTGATGCGGCACAGCATATCTTCAGGCGCATGTATACTGCTGCCATCTATGAGCGGAACCGGGAGTTGCACCTCGTTACCGGTAGACACCAACCGCTAAACCGCATGTAAAATTACTTCGAATAGAGGAGAAACGCCAATTCGGAAACTAGCCTAGTAAAAAATATAAATCATGCATTTAATTGCTCCTTATATTGACGCTCTTCCACAGTAGCTTAGTCATAAATTAACTTAGACGTGAAATCATATTGGACATAGGTACTCAACATCTTCGTAACTACTTACTCGATATAGAATGACATTTGACATACCGGGCTTCTCAAAAAAGTTAGACGGATTTCTTTTGCGAATAGAGGACCCCTAACAACATTTAAGCATAATCAATGCACGTGGAAAAACGGAGAATTTTTCGTAGATGTATATGACACCATGGTTTGAGCTTAAAAATGAAGCCGTGGTCTTAGGAAGTAAAAGCAAAACTCGTAAAATTATGCTTTCCCAGACAAAGTCGGTCGGTTCGACACCACGGAAGATCCGCAAACAGTTTAGGGCAAAGAGAGCAACACTTGAAACAAAATTTTCCACATTATTGACAAGTTTCTGGCTCGAGGAATTGTTAACAATAGGTTCACGCAATTCAAGGGACACAGCGGCGGCCATAAACCCAATCAAAGGCTCACGGCGAACACCACTCGTGCGAGAGATGCGCTACTCAGACTGTCAATGGTCAGCGATATCGGGTGGCTCTGGCGACGTTTTGGAGGGCTCTGCAATATCAGGACGAGCAGAGATCCGGAAACGCTTAAGATCCAATGGTTCCAGCAAGACGATGCCACGCCAATACCGCTAAAGAAACCCGGAAGGGGCTGTGGGAGCGCCTCGGGTAGCGCGTGATCTCGAGGTTCGAGACACGCCCGTGGTCGGCGAATTTTCCGAACGTAACCCCACCGGACTTTTTCCTATAGGACCACCTCAAGTCTCAGGTGTACCGAAACCACCCAAAAAGTTCCGAAGATCATAAGGATGCAGTGAAGTCAGCGGTGTGCCGTCTGCAGCTTTCCGTAGGTCGTGCTGCAGCAGAGGTCGCGCTGCGCCGGGCTAAACTGTACATCGAGCAAAAAGGGAATCATCTCGAACATGACCTCGGCGCGGCTCAGAAAGGCGACTACCGAGGATCGAAATCCCCTCAAACGAAATGGCTTTGATGAGGCTTTTAGGTGATACCTTATTATGTTTTGTTACACTGATACACCCTTCAATACGTTAGTTATAAAATCGTCTAACTTTTTTGAGAAGCCCGGTATTTATCACTGGTAAATTCAAGCATATAACAAAATGTTCCGTTTCATTACATATTCATTGTTTCAAAAACATTCAACCGCAGGACCCACCACCATTAGAAGACTTGTCGACTGCCTGGCGCAGGACTCAGACGGCGCCTCTGCGAATGAATACTATTTCCGTCCGGGGCCACAATTCCCGCGCCGTCGGTCTCTGATATCCGGCCGACGCGTCACAACTTTTCCACGGAGCAGTAGTCGGCACCCCTGGCGACCATCGACTGACGACGCTGAAAAATCGACACCAGCTGCCGGAAAGCAGCTGTGCAGACAGAACTGTGGAACAGGCTGCCCCCGTGGCAGCGGCTGCGGCCGAGACAGACCGACTGTCGAGTGATCTCCATCGGGTTGTGTCGGATCGTCGGCCGGTCGTGCCGTAGAGCCGAGTCGAGCTGACGGCGCGGCGGTGCCGACCGGGAGAGGGTTCCGACGAGTAACGGCCACTCCGGCGCGGCGGCACAGTGATTCGGCCCGCTGTTTGAGCTCGGTACGACGCCGAGTGACGGACGGCGCAGATGAAAGTGTCCCCGTCGGCCCGCCGTCGACGTCGACACGGACGGTATGTCGGGGTCACCGCTCGGTTGGCATTCCTCTCAACCCACGGCGTTCGCCTCAGTGCTGTCCAACGACCGACCTGCGCTTTATGAGACGCGCCCGGAGCCACCAAACGGCCGCTAAATTAGTGCGTCCCTCTCCGACAGCGCCGGACCCCTGCTCTCCACGGTGTCTACTGCATCATCTTCACGCGCTGGTCGGAAAATGTCGCCGCCGTCCATCAGATCGACCTCCCCCACCGGGGACAGTGGACTCGTCTAAAATCGGCTCGGCGCCTCGGGCTCTTTGAGGGCGACTCGTAAAGTGGCCGGTCGGGCCGGCGGCCGGCGATGTACTCACTGATAGGGCAGGGCGGTGGCCGCCGGCGTCCCTGTGCCCGCCGGGGTCTGCTGGTCCGCCGCGCCGGTCGCTGGTCCGCTGGGCGCTGTCTCCGTTGGAGAGGGAGAGTGGCGAGATGCCAATATCCAAAGCTAGTGGTGGTGGGTATTGGAGACGAGAAACCAGCCTGGCTTCCACCTTCAGGAGAGCCATTGACAAAGGAGGCTGAGTCCCGCATTGTGGACTTGAGGGCATTTGTCGTGAGCGAAATCTTTTGTACAGGAATGGATTATTCTATTCAATATGAATTGGATGGACAGGCTAAAATTAGATTCCAAAGTATTTGTTCCGAAAAATAAAAAAGAGAATCTTTTGTGCGATGGGCATTCTTAAAATTGCCAGAAAATTATTATTCAAATACTAAGAAAGTAAATATAAAAAAGACACCGTGACTTCACACTATTTCTTGATAGATTATATGCCATGCTACTCACTAATCCAAATGTGCACCATGTCGCTTTCCACTTGCTGCTTGCTCCGTTGCCGTTCTAAGTGGCTGCCCATGTCGCGTCGCGTTGTAGGACCCGACGGCATGATGGCCGCTCTCCGACCGACATTAGCTGCACCAGAGCCATTATTTGGCTGTGAGTCCGGCGGTCCGGTGTGCTAATTAGTCGGACTAATCTACTCCGGCGAGCTCTCGTCGTCGCTGCTGGACAGGAGTGGGGTGGGAGGAAAGGGAGAGGGGGACTGTCCGGCTGCCGGATGGGCAGTATCCCAGCGTGATGTCAAAGGGCAATTGCTACTGCTCGGTCAATCAATAGAGGTAATTTCAATGTCAGATGACGAATGCATTGGCCGGATCGGTGCTCGCACTGATGAGAAAAGAGGAGTGGAGAGGAGAGATAGAGAGGAGAGAGAGACAGAGTGAGTCTTTAGGGGATGATGTCAACCAGGGAGACGATGTTAACAGTTCAAGTGATTTGTCTTTGCCGCAGACTTTGCCACTGGTTTCAGAAGCTCTCCATCATCTAAGAAAATTTCAACGAAAAGGAAGAAGGCCATAAAACAGCCTGAAGGGCATCAATTTTAAATTATGAACATAGAGCCTCCACCACCACACCACCGATATCCAGCAGTGTCATAACACAAATGTCACGGCATAAATATTGCAACTCCGAACTCCCAGACGAAGAAATCATTCGGACGCAAATGCAACGAGACCGCTCCATTCCCAGTATGGCATAGCCTTCCCGTTACAAATCACGCTGAGCTGGGCTTCAGTTGGTAATTGAACAAGTCATGTGAAATTATCCCTATTCATGCGATAGGTAGGTAGCAGCAAAATCAATCTTAAAGGCAGACTGAAAATGACAGAAACTTCACCTGCAAAAACAATACCACCTGCATGGAAACTACTGATGGGATATATTGTGGTATTGGCCAGGGGCGATGTCACAGTGAAAATACTTTAACTGGTCATTGGGAAATATGGGAAACGTTTGGGAAACATCTGTGACATAGAGACGTTACCCCTGGTTCCAGAAGCACTACAACACGACTGAAGGGGGACAAATAACTATTGACGTTTTGAATCGCACATCACCGCCGT